CGGCCCAGTTTGAAGAAGACAGTCCCTGAAGGGGTTGGGAGGTATAAGGCTGAAAAAAGGGGCTGAGGCTAGCCCCAATTTGGGTAGTAGAGGCCATGCCAAGTTCTGCAGAATCTGGAGCAGTGGATCACTGGGTGATGGAGCTCTTCTCAGAGGGGAGAGCCATTCGGCTCTGGCTTCTTCCAGGAGGAACTTTCCCCAAATACTCATGACCTCTCACCCATCCTGCCCACAGAGTAACCCGATAGATGCATCTGATTGAGGAACGGGCTTTTGGGCCCCAGCCCCTTCCTTCTTCCCTCCTCCGCTTGGGGCCCTCTTTCCAGGAAAGAATTACAGGAACGTCTCATGGGGCAAGACTAGGATGTGCCAACACTGCCTGGAGTGGGTGGAAAGTCTGATAATTCTGGAGGTCAGTATTAGGAAGCTCACTATTGCTACATAAGTAAGCCTCATTTTAAACCTAGCCTTTACCAACAAAAATAAAGGTGATATTGTGATCTCCTAGGTCTTAGGTCTTAACTGGCTGAGTGCTCAGGCAGGTAAAACAGGGATGTCATTTATTGGGCCCCTTAAAGTCCAACAGGAGACAGCTGGAGGCTGTTGCAGAGGTCTGGAGAGGAAGTAATTAGGAGCACCTTAAGCTAGAGCCACAGAGGTGGGGAACGGTGTTTGGTGATGTCAGACAGGAGGGTGGGAAAATGCGAGTCAACGAGGCGGCTTTCTATGGCTTTCAAAGCGCAGTTCTGGGCATTAAAGACTTGGGAACGCCACTGTACACCAATCACCCGGATGGGCGCTTTGCACATGTTCGTGAGCTCTTTGATTTTTGCAACATCCCTATTATTTTTATCCCCATTTTCCAGATGAGAAAACTGAGGCCCAGAGAGCAAACAGCTTGCCCAAGATAGGAGGAGAGCTGGTAACGAAATGATGTTAGTCTATCAGGCGCTGAGTTCTAGGCACCTGCTTACTGCCTTGCCAGGCGGGTGATAGACATGAGCGGAGAGGTCTGACTACCGTGGGGCAGCCGGCTCAGGGGACTCACAAAGAATTCTGCCTGCAGCAGGAAGGGGTCCAGGGCCTTTTCGTGAAGCTCCTCGGCCTGGAGGACACGAGAGGCGCTGAGCAGATACTCGCGGGCCGACTCCTCGCGTGGAGACATGAGATAGCCGAAGCCCTCCTCGCTGCAGCCCGGCGTGCACATGTCCAGGGTCAGGGAGACGTTGGAGCCCCTCCTGGAAGGACCGGGAAAAGAGGAGTGAGTCTCAGGGACAGGGAGGGGCATCGGTTGGGGACCTTGGAGCCGGAAGATGAGGGAGGGAGAGATCAGGGGTGGGAAGAGGGTTGGCTCCAGACAGCATCCTTGATATAAGAAGCACGAGTCTCAGCCCCAAGGCTTAGGCCTGACTCCCCACATCCTGCCTCCTGCAGTGGAGTAGCTAACTGAGTGGGGAGTTGGGGACCCCAGTTCCAAAGGTTCCATCTGAGGCAACCTCAACATAGCCCTCCCCTGGACTCTCCTCTGTCACTTACTGGAGGTAGTGTCCAGCCCTGTGGCCCCTGGGAAGCTCTCAGAGAGAGGGCACCTGCCTAGAGCGGAGAAGCAGGGCTCGACCCTCTGTACCATGGTCCTGGGCCCGGCAGTCTGGGCCCAGGTTGCCAATGCCAAGGATTTCTCATCCAGGAGAGGCCGGGACCCTTGGCTGTCATGGAAAAAGGGAGTTCCGAGGGCAGCACAGCAGCGACAAGGATGTCTACCCTGGACAAACTACTGTGTTCAGTGTCTAAAGGCACAGAACAAGGGCCCTCATTATACAGAAAGCCAAACCGAGTCTCAGTGAGGGGACAAGAATTGCCCAAGCTCACGCAGTAAAGGGGTGGCAGAGCTGAAACAAAAAGCTAGGTTTTCTGACTCCTCATCCAGTGCTCTTTTTATGACATCATGCAGGCAACTCAAACCTGGTGTGATCTGGCTTACCCAGCTGGGCTCTGAACACAGGGTGTCAATACCTCCCCAAGCGTGCTCTGTCGAACACTACGAGAAACTCTATCAAGAGAGTTCTGCGGTCAGGCG